GCGTGTGCGTGTGCGTGTGGTGATGTAGCACGGTTTATGTGTGGTAGGACAAGCATGCGACGAACGACTGTGCACTGTCGTCACTTTTGGGCTTTGAGTTGCTGTTCGAGTATAGCATGCGGAGGATGTCCGGAGCTCGGCTTGAAATGTGACCCGGGGGGTTTGAAAGTTGAAAGCTCGTGAAATAATGGACACAGGAAGTCCTCAAATGCCCTCAATCTCAATCCCACGCGGAAACCATCAACATGATAAGGAGACACACAGCCTTTGCAGTTAGCGCAACGGCGTAGAAGGCAGAGTGGTATGGCCTTTGCATCAGGAATGTCCTAGAGTGAAGAAGTTGAAGTCGCCCTCGTTAATGTTTTTGTTCCGACAGCTGCATAGCTTGCGGCTTGAAACTGCACGACGAAACACATCGCAACCCTCAGATCAAACGTGGGTAAAACCTATGCCGTCTTGCTATCGCACGCCCACCTGAAAGAAGTGACAACATCAGCTCGAGTTGCATGCGAACAAGATGCAGGAAGCAAAGCTGACGGAACGAATGCATTTCACTGCAGACCTTTTCTGTGTCTGCACCTGCAGGCTGTCCATGAAGCTCTGCTCGATGATCTCTTAGACGCTGTTTCTGGAGAAGCGGAGCATGTCCTTTCCAATGCGGCTGCCGATGCAGACTTGCTCATGCTGCAGGAGAGAGACACGAAATCCTGCTAAGCGCAGTGCAAGCATCCTTGATTGATGCAGCATCAGGCAGAAGTAAATGCGTCGACGGCCATATTTGGTGAATGCAACGATAATTTCAGTCGGGCTCAGGCGCGGCAGATACCAATGTGTGTGCAGTTCAGTGTGTCTCTCCTAGCTCTACACAGCGTGCATCTCCTCAGCATGCGGCAGCTACGTAACCTGGCATCCTTCTTGCATGAAGTATCACCCATATCAGCCCGGTGGAAGGCAGAAGTGAGCGCGATATTGCACACGCGTCACGAGGCCTGGCTGACGCAATGTGGCGACGTAGCTCTAACTTACGGAATGGGGCACTTCTGTAGCAAGGCACCCGGCCAAGAGCGAGCATAGTAAGATGTTTCCTATGAAGCTCGCAGGCTGATGCACTTTCGCAGAGCTCCGCAGCTGCTTACATGGCTGCTTCTTCGAAAAGAATATCGGCCGAGGAGAACATGGTCCGAAGGAGATTCCTTCATGTCTTTTCCTTGTCCAGTAAGGTTTGCAGTTTTTTTCGTTTGAGCCGCTCTTCTTGCAAGGAGAAGAGAGCTGGAGGCTGCCAGGAATGCATCAGCGCAAGCAGCTGCAGCGTGGACCTCGGAAGCCTTACCCCGACCATGAATCTTGCGGTGTCGTTGAGGCATGCTGACATGCTGAACGGTGTCTTCTCATAATATAGCTAGATTCTGAGATTTCCTGCCGTCTGGCTTCAAACCAGTGAATCCTCGGGCTTATTCACGAGGTGATCTAAAATTGTGGTTCTGTCGAATTTGCTACCGGGTTACTGATCATGTTGTTCTTGCTGACTTTAAAGCAGCGCGGGCAGTGCGCAAGGCAGTGTGATAGCAAGCAGCACGGCCAGGACTTGACGAGGTCAGTGGAGGCAGAGGCAGAAGCCAAGAAGTCGGTGGAAAAGACGAAGGTGCCAGCTTGAATTCGTGCTGTATGACTTGTGTACGTGCTGTGCTTCATGAGTCGGAGCGGGACCGGAAGCAGCTCAGGTGTGGCAAGCAAACTTCAATGCATCATTAAAGATTGCAAGGCACGCAGAGCGACGGGCCACAGCCTTTACAATCACAAGATGAACGCTTGATTCGCAAGTGCTCGAAGGAAGGAAGAGGTCCGGGACGAGGCTCAGGAAGAAAAGCGCCAACGCCAGAGTGAAGAGGTCAGTGCTCTGCAGCGTGCTTTGCTTCGTGCTCTGCAGTGCTTTGCAAGATGTGAGAGTGTGTCTCCACATCAGCGCGAGGCAAAAAATGGCACATGTTGTGTGCCGTCTGAGCCAGGCCAAAGCCCGACAACGCGAAGCGCGGATGCGATCCTTGTTGGACACACACAAGAGGCACCTTGCGCTCTGTGACCTCCAGGCACCCTGCAGGAGCTGCCGAGAAGGCCCATTAGCCAGGAATGTTCATGCGTAGCGATGCGAGGTAGAGCTCCCACAGAAGGACCAATCAAGAGCTGAGGCGCAGGGTCGCTGCCGACGTTGGTTTTGGTTTGTCTGTTCAACTGAAAACACACCCCGTCGAATGCGCCCGCATGCACCTCGTGCATATGTGAAGCCTGGGTCTGTGCACCTGTGGCTAAAGTATGCTAAAGTCAAGGTGAAGGTCTGAAGGTACACCCAGGTACATTGCAGTGAAGGGAGACTTCGCCGGGTGCTTGTGTGTGAAGAGAGACCGGGCTCTGGGCGTTTTCCACCATGTGTTTTTGGATCTGGGGGACCAGGCCTCTCGGGATTCTTTGCAAATTCTGCAGGGGTAATTGTAAACGCTTGTCGGAGCCGCCGACAGGCGGGACCCTCCAAGCGATGGGGGGGGGGGGGTCCCACACAGGGCGGGGGTTGGGTTAGGAAGGAGACCGGATCCGTGTCTGCTTGACGCTTCTCGGCAGGAAGCCGAGGCGAATAACCTTGTCACTCCTTTTCTTTCATTTGCCTTAGAATAACCTTGTTACTCCTTTTCTTTCATTTTTTAGACGACACGACCTCGCTGCACAAAACATTGTGGGTGCTTCGCCCTCTTGAGTATTGGGAGGCGCGCAAATGCCTTTTCGCCTTGTGCGACCAGCCTTGTGACACCTATTTGCATGCACAGTTGCAAGAGTTGCGGCTGCAGTTGTCAGTATCACGCTTCTACTTCTCAGCCCCATGCTCAATGTGAGAAATCTACGCGTCGCAGTTCAGTGCATGGAGAGGGAATGCTTTTTGGTCCATACAGCAGTTGCAGGCGAAGGCTGCCTTCGATAAAGCCGAAAAAGCTCTGGCTGACACACAGGCGAGATGAATCTGGGTTGCTGTGCCTTCCGCTATCCGCAGTTGGAGATGGACTTCTGCAGGCATCCTTGGAGAGCTACATCAAAGATGAAGCGGAGACCCATTCAAAGATTCATCAAACTTACAAGGCACGTCCAGCAATTGCCAACCACCCTGCGCCGTATGTACTCCTAGCATTTTCAGACTTGAAGCCCTTGTCTGCACAATGCTGGTGTGTGGGTGCAAGCATGTCGCTACAGCCAGACCCGACCAGTACTGAGCTTCTTTTCATCCGCAAGGAACTGGGGGAGCTAAAGACGGAACATGCCAATGCAGAGAAGGAGTACGCTGAGCAGGAGCGGGAATATTTAGCCAAGGTCTGCATACAATCGCTGCGCGAAGTGATGCCGTACTTTGTTTTTGCGCTGTCCAGTCCGTACAAGCCCCTCGAAAGTGTAGCGCGGTGACTTTATGATGGATTTGATTGACAACTGCCCGGACCGCAAGACCCCACAAACCCTCAATGCATACATGTACACTTTACGTGTGAGAACGCTTGTTCAATATCGCACAAGTACTATTGTCTGTGGCTGTGAGTGAAGTTAGTTTTTCCACTGTCGTGCACGCTGTCGTGCCACCCCCCACTCCTCCCCGATGATCTCGCCGCCAATTCGCAAACTTGACACCTTCGGCAGCCACTGGGGTGGTCCTCGGCTCTTGAAGCGGGATTTTGGCTTGTCGGAAGCTGTTGCTGCGCAACGACTGTTTTGCAACGTGTCCCGTTGCTTAGTTAAGAATTGTAGCACTTGCCGCAACCCGCATTTTTACGGAAGAGTCAGGGTTGCAAACAGAACATCCAGATTGTCTCAGCTGGCTACTGCTTGCGTCAAGCATGCCAAACTCAATCTCCAAAACCCTGATGCTTCTGGTGTGGATTTCTGCCTCAAAGTTACCTTAAGCAATTCGAGCTGTACACCAGCGGTTCAGAAACCATGAGCAACTCCTACACCTGATGCTTTTCAACCGCAGGACCATTTGATTGTATAGTTCAGTCGGCGATTCAATCATATACAAACTACCACAATGCCGCTGACATCAGCAACTGCTAGTAATCGATGTGTACGATATGCGGGCTGTAGATGGTTTGTCTTTGTCCGGCCTTACCGCCAAGTCGCCTTGTAGCACTTTCAAGCCTGAAAGGCATGCCCCCCGACCCCCCCCCCCCCCACCCCCCGCTTTCTCGCCCAGGATCCGGAAGATAGAAAGCGCAGCTTTACGACATCTTTGCAGGGCTCAGGTGCTTAGTCAAACCGCAGGTGCCAGAGTGAATGTCATCTAGCCGAATCTTGCCGGTCATCCTCTCTGCACATGTGCCGCCACGTGTTGGCATTGTGGCAATGTCGCTGGTAGCCTGGTAGACAAGGATGCAAGATGATGCAAGCCTGCGATTGAAAATGCACTCGCCAGCATGCATATAATAGCGTAAATTAACCTGTGAACGAACAATATGTGTGCTCCTTGAAAGTCCATTAGAATTATATTAAACGGCCACAAAGAGAAATATTAATAAGGCCCGTAAACAATAATGTAAGAACGTAATGTGCATTTCACGCATCATTTTATTCCTTATACATGCACTCGCAAAAAACAACGGGTGCAAACAACATGGCACTTTGCCCCCGTAATAGAACCATATTATAACGAACCCCGCGCAATATTAGTAGTTTATTTACGCAGGGAAAGAGAGACCTGCCTGTGGTAAGATCTGCTCTGAATAGGAAAAGCCGGACACCCACAAACTCGTGGTATTCAGAAAGTCTAGGAGTCTCGGCTCATGCGTTCTCAACGTTGCTTGTTGCCCTGTCTGGCACTGGTCCGAGCTGCTACGGTCCTCAATTGCATCAAAATCGGTGCATGTCTGTGCGCATGCGAAAGATGCATCCACAGGGCGGCCAGGGAGCGGTCCCATAAGGGCCACAGGGTGTTAGAAGACTCTGTGGCCTACTGAACCTGTGCAGATAGCTGCGCATCCAGACTGAGTCTGTCATGACTGCTCTGGCTCAGGGCTGCTCACTGGAAGCAGAGGTCTTTTGTGACTGATTGTGAGCGGAGCACACTGGTTTGAACCATATGCCCGAGCAGCTAACTGTTTCAACTCATGGCATCACTATGAAGTGATCCCCAACTGAGAAGATCTTTTGGTGGTGTTTGGCCCACTGTCGGCGTCGCACGCGCCTCGGATCTTCTTCAGTAGCTTTCGTTCCTGCCTTCCCCTACAAGTAGTTGAACCTTTCCCTCCAGGGCTTCGCACTTAACCGGAACCCGAATGGTGAGTTCAACAACCATGAAAGTCCTGACCCGCATGATGCTGGCCAGCAACATCACTGGACAACTCAAGGAAGCGGAGGCTCCGCCTAACGAAATGAGACTTGTCACGAGATGCTGCCGACGGTCATGACGTTAAGATTGCTTGTTCCGCCCTTACCCGACTGTTCCTCAACCCAGACAAAGCCCTGGACTCGGGTGTAATGCCCGAAAGAACATCAGAAATATTGTGCGGACAAAGGCCAGAGTGAAGCCGTCAGACTTTTCAAAAACTGCTCTCTCTCTCTCTATATATATATATATATGTGCATACAATCAACTTTCTCCTAAATGAACCCACAAACCAAGACAATAGACACACATACATACATCCATGTTGAGCTTTTAGGGTTCTGCATTCGTGAGAGTCCGGTTGAGGGTTTGGTTGGTTTAGCGATTGATGCACTGTCGTCATATTGAGAGTAACTCTCAACATGAACTCAGTTCGGATGTTTGTGAGATGCAGCTACGCGGGCTGTGGATTCAACGTTTCAGGTATATGAGGGTTATTAAGATCTGCGACGGGCGTGCGGCACATTGTGTTTGTTCGTGCTTCACCTTTCGCGTTGCTGTCCCTGCCTTATTTTGCTCTGCGAAAGCATTGAATGAAAAGAGGCAGATGGTTGCAAGTGGGCGGCGGGCTATTCCTGATTAACTTGTCATCCTGCTAGTGCCTCGGCACCAAAGGCGGTGGTAGCCCCGTGAGCTTCGCGCGCACTGGGGACGATGCGGGATGACTCGGGAAAACTGGCAGTTGGTCACTGGGTGAGAAGCCGCATGATCCGTGGAAGCTTGTATGGTCCTCTTTCCTAGCAGTGCCCTTTGGGAAGTCCTCTCATGGCCTGAGCGCCCATCGGGAGAGGATTTCATGGCCGCGTCTAGGATCGAGAGTGCCCTCCGTGGCCGCCCATACTCGCCGAAACGGTGAAGGTGATTAAGTCCCAGGGCGAGTGGGCCGAGCTTTTCTTTTCAGGGGTAGATCCGCCACCACTCTCTGCTTCCAGGCCTTCAGATTTTCATTCATGTATGCTCTGGTTGTTGTGTGTTGTTGTGTGTTGTTGTGTGTTGTTGTGTGTTGTTGTGTGTTGTTGTGTATTGTTGTGTGTTGCTGTGTGTTGCTGTGTGTTGCTGTGTGTTGTTGTGTGTTGCTGTGTGTAGTTGTGTGTTGTTGTGTGTTGTTGTGTGTTGTTGTGTATTGTTGTGTGTTGCTGTGTGTTGCTGTGTGTTGCTGTGTGTTGTTGTGTGTTGCTGTCTGTGGTTGCGTGTTGTTGTGTGTTGTTGTGTGTTGTTGTGTGTTGTTGTGTGTTGTTGTGTGTTGTTGTGTGTTGTTGTGTGTTGTTGTGTGTTGTTGTGTGTTGTTGTGTGTTGTTGTGTGTTGTTGTGTGTTGTTGTGTGTTGTTGTGTGTTGTGTGTGTGTGTGTTGTGTGTGTGTTGTGTGTTGTTGTGTGTGTGTTGTTGTGTGTTGTTGTGTGTTGTTGTGTGTTGTTGTGTGTTGTTGTGTGTTGTTGTGTGTTGTTGTGTGTGTTGTGTGTGTTGTGTGTTGTGTGTTGTTGTGTGTTGTTGTGTGTTGTTGTGTGTTGTTGTGTGTTGTTGTGTGTTGTTGTGTGTTGTTGTGTGTTGTTGTGTGTTGTTGTGTGTTGTTGTGTGTTGTTGTGTGTTGTTGTGTGTTGTTGTGTGTTGTTGTGTGTTGTTGTGTGTTGTTGTGTGTGTTGTTGTGTGTTGTTGTGTGTTGTTGTGTGTTGTTGTGTGTTGTTGTGTGTTGTTGTGTGTTGTTGTGTGTTGTTGTGTGTTGTTGTGTGTTGTTGTGTGTTGTGTTTTTGTTTTTGTTTTTTAATATGTTGTTGTGTGTTGTTGTTGTTTTGTGTTGTGGTGTGTTGTTGTGTGTTGTTTTGTGTTGTGGTGTGTTGTTGTGTGTTGTTGTGTGTTGGCGTTCGTCGGCGTGTGTTGGTGTGTGATGATGGTGTGTGATGGTGCGTGTTGTTGTGTGTTGTTGTGTGTTGTTGTGTGTTGTTGTGTGTTGTTGTGTGTTGTTGTGTGTTGTTGTGTGTTGTTGTGTGTTGTTGTGTGTTGTTGTGTGTTGTGTGTGCTGTTGTGTGGTGTTGTGTCTTGTTGTGTGTTGTTGTGTGTTGTTGTGTGTTGTTGTGTGTTGTTGTGTGTTGTTGTGTGTTGTTGTGTGTTGTTGTGTGTTGTTGTGTGTTGTTGTGTGTTGTTGGGTGTTGTTGGGTGTTGTTGCGTGTGGTTGGGTGTGTTGTTGGGTGTGTTGTTGGGTGTGTTGTTGTGTGTTGTTTGGTGTGTTGTTGTGCCGCATGCCCGTCGCAAATCATACCTGAAACGTTGAATCCACAACCCTCTTATCTGCGCCGTAAAGCCCTAAACCTGAAGCCTGAAGCCACAGCCACAGACTATACAGACCCCTCAAACACTGATAGATTTACGTCCTTCTTCGGGTTTTAGGGTTTAGGGTTTTGGGTTTAGGGTTTTAGGGTTTTAGGGTTCAAGGTGTCAAGGGTGTTCAGGTGTTTATGATGCTGATGCTGATGCTGATGCTGATGCTGATGCTGATGATGGTGACGACTCTTCTTCTGAAGTTCCCCATGTGGCATGTGTGCTTCATTGGCCTCGTGCAGGTGTGAATTTGCGTCTCAAAGCCATTCGAAACAGAGCTTAAGTGAGTATCTTAGCTGATGGCCTGTTGGCATGGAGCCGCTCGTCGCTTGGTGCTTGACAGTCCCTTTGCCCAAGTTGTGAGACGTTGGCAGAGCTCCACCGGCATCAACCCCAGCAGTCTTGCCAGAACATCCACATGGCATTATGGCGACTTGTGCAAAAAGGCATCCCGGTTTCGTTCGTGTATTCGAGCACCCGAACTTCGCACAGCTTATGAGGAGGTGCAGGGGCTGCTTCAGTCAGTCAAACTATCGGCATCTCCACAGAAGATTCAATCTGCGACAGAGGTTCTCAGAACCACGTTGGAGAAGGCCTTTGACAAGGAGCAAAATTTCGAAAAAGCTCTTTTTCAAGCCATCGCCAAGGCATTTGGATTGAAGGGCAACCAGTCGCTTGGAAACAAAGTCCATCTTCACACCGGCCCCTCTTGGTCTCTGACGCTGAGGCGTCAAACTCAAACTCAAGACTTGGCATTGGATGGCATCCCAAGTACAATCGCCCTGGCCAAAGGTGCCAAGGCAGACTTGACTTTGACCCTTGAAATGAACCAACGGAGTTACCCGCTTTGCGTCCTCGAGCTGAAAACGGATCCCCGATCCGCAACGGATGCCCAGTGGCCTGACAAGGAGGTGTCAGGGGTGATGACGCAACCCTTGATGACAGCACTCAGTTGGATTCCACCGTGCTTGGATGCACTGTGCTTGAACTTTGAGGGTCTCTTGACAGCTGTGGTATCGTCCAAGAGCACACGGGTAACTGCGACCAAGCACCGAGCAATCCTTGTCGAGATTGTAAAGCCTGAGGTTTTCAAGCCATGGACGTGCTCAATCCCACAGGATTCGGAATCGATTGACACGATTGTTGCCATAGTGGCGCGCGTGCTTGCTGGAGGCATGGAACTCGGTATGGCAGCAGTAAGTCAGACAGGTGTGCCAGGCACCGACCAATCATATGTTGGTCGCATTCCGCCTGCCTGGAAGTGCAACATTGTTGGCAATCCACTCGCAGCACCTTTAGGTGGAGTCCAATTGCCCAAAGTGTTGAGCCAGGGCATCCTATGGCAGGCCAAGGCAGTTGCGAACTGCATCGTTGCTAGCATGGAAGATCGGGCAGTTGTGCATGGCCATGCAACAACAGGAGGTGCTGGTGATGAGCCCTTGTACTTGAAAGCTCAGTCGCTTTTCTACCCACACATGATCAATCTCAGCGAGTTCAAATGTGCCCACCAAGTACTATGGGAAAAAGGCGTCGCTGCCACCTTCCCATACCTGCTGTGCAGTGCGTCGACCGAAACAACAACAATGACGATGATGAAAGCGGTCAACGGTCGGCCGCTGACTGCGGCTGATGTGAGGGTCAATCCACAAATCCTGGCGGGGGTCGCAGAGCAAGTGGAGGCATTGTTGCAGGTCAGGCTGACCCATGCTGACATTCGTTACCCAAATGTGGTCGTCCTTGTCGATGGCAGGAGCAGTTTGCTGGACCTCGAATCTTTGATCTTCGGGAGCTTGCCAGACACGAAGTCAACGCGCCTTGAGTACTGCACTATGGGTGCCAAGAGATTCGACCTTCTTGGTTGCGCTGCATGGCAATTTTCACTACTGCTGTACAGGGCTTTTCGGCTGAGTGGATCCGTGGAGGAGACTATGGAGATGTTTGAAGAATGGCTCCAACAAAAATGCAACAACAACACGCCATTGCTGCAGCTTGCAATGAAGCATGCCTCTGAGGAACATGCACCCCAGAGTCCAATGCACACAGGCTTCAAAGCAGGCTTCGTGGCACTTGCAATGAAGACTCTTGAGCAGTTCAGCTAGCAAAAGGACCTTGCAGTGCGAGATGCCGGGGCAAGAATTGCAGGGGAGTTGTAGGGCCAACTTGTGTGTACGCATTACCTCGCTGTAGAAAGCGCTTGAATCCATGTTCGTCCACGTGATGCCATGGTGAGCGCGCAGTGCACCCCGCTGTTATCCTCAGCTGGTTCGGCTAAGTTCACAGATTGAGAGGCCATCAACGATTCTAGAAGCCTTGCCAGCGCGACGCCCTAAGAAACCCTAAACCCTAACCCTAAACCTAAACCCTAAACCCTAAACCCTAAACCCTAAACCCTAAAACCCTAAACCCTAAACCCTAAACCCTAAAACCCTAAAACCCTAAACCCTAAACCCTAAACCCTAAACCCTAAACCCTAAACCCTAATATTCCAACAGGAAAGAGCCAAAGTAATGAATTGTTTAATGCTTTTGTTTTTGTCTTGCCTGAAGCTCTGTTTAAAGTTTAGGGTTTAGGGTTTAGGGTTTTAGGGTTTAGGGTTTAGGGTTTAGGGTTTAGGGTTTTAGGGTTTAGGGTTTAGGGTTTAGGGTTTTAGGGTTTGGTTTTAGGTTTAGGGTTTAGGGTTTAGGGTTTTAGGGTTTAGGGTTTAGGGTTTAGGGTTTAGGGTTTAGGGTTTAGGGTTTAGGGTTTAGGGTTTAGGGTTTAGGGTTTAGGGTTTAGGGTTTAGGGTTTAGGGTTTTAGGGTTTTAGGGTTCAGGGTTTAGGGTTTAGGGTTCAGGGTTTAGGGTTTAGGGTTTTAGGGTTTAGGGTTTAGGGTTTAGGGCGTCTCGCCGCGCAGCGGCAGTAAGTACCATGTGTAAATGGCGCCCCTACACACCCAGGGGGTGTGGGGGGGCGGCATGTCACGCGATGGCATCTGTTTTCAATGTAATCCAACAATTTCATTGGTGCTGGTTCTTTCTCCCCACCCGCTGTGAGCTTTCACAGGCCACCGCCCAAACCATTGCCTTTTAGGGTTTAGGGCTGTCGCCCTCAATTCCCACCATTGCTTCAAACTTTTCTTGTTTGCTCGGCGGTGAAGGCAGCGGGGTGGGAGGGAGAAGCCAGCTCATGGCCAGGTGGGGGGCCGGGGCGGCCAGGGGCCAGCAGAGGCGGGGGGGCAGAGGGGGCGAAGGGGGGGCCAGAGCGGCCGGGGTGCACCACCATTGCTTCAAACTTTCCGGGGCCATGAGTGGCACGCTTCACTCCCCGTTCATAGAGCTTTTGGTGAGGTCGTAGAGTTGATGCTCCCACTTGTTGCCTTTCCCGGGTCAGATATTGATCGATCTTCGGAAGGCCGGGAAGGGCAGGGGTTGAGAGGAGGAGGTTCCAGGGGGTAGGGGGAAGGTTTTTGGCTCCCCTCGAAAAGCGATTGAAATATCTGTGCAGACAAAGGAGCTTAGTCGCAAATGGCAAACATGCCCCCGAGGAACATGCCGAAGCGGCCTCTTCCAAAAATCTTTCACTTGCTTCAAGACAACTCGTGTGGGGCTTTTGAAATTGCAGGGACAAAAGATTGCAGAACATGAACATGGATCGCCTTTCCGGCCTATCAAGCACGACAAGGCTTGAAGGTGCATCCGCAAAGAGTGATCTGCAACGCACTCAACCATCGATGCAGCTTTTGCCGCCGGGCGTGGGCGGGGGGGGGCCAAGCACGGAAGAGCTTCGAGCCAACACAGTGAACATGCAGACGATGCGGCCACTCAACGCGAGGTCCCCGCAAGCATCCCGCAGCTGAGTCGCGGAGTAGCAACCCTGTCGAGCAGCAGAAGACGAAGCTTTCTCTTTTTTCTGACAGCTGAGACGGCGTACTTGAATGTATATCGAACAAGAGACAGAGGACAGGCAAGCTACAGGGGCAGACCTGTGCCGGAACCGTCCGCCGCCTGTGGCCTTCGCCCGCTCGTCCCAAACCGCACCCCTCGGCTGGAGCCGCCGCCTGCGGCACCTCCTTTTCTGAAATGCACCCCGCCACGAAGCTTGATCGCAAGTTGAGAGAATCCTTTGACTCCGGTGGCTGAAACCTACACAACAAGTCAAGGAGCCACGTTGCGGGGGCTGTCAGTGAGATCGCTAAGAGCATGCTCCGCTCAGCGGAAGCGTGCTGGCGTGAAGTGATGGACGCCCGGGTTGCCCACGAAGCGCCAGTTCACGTCGTATTCTACCCGACTCAGGGCCACGTAGGCGGCCGCCGGCATGTTCGGCACGTCCAGCCACACGGTGATGTGGGGCAGGGTGGCGCCCTGCACCTTGTGAAGCGTGCTGGCGTAGCCGAGGCGCAAGGGGAAGTGGGCGATGCGCTCCTCGGAGGTCCACGGGTGTACCGCGAGACGGATGCCCTGGTCGGTCTTCACGATGACGTTGCCTCCGTCCACGCCGAGCACCACCGCGCCCATCCCATTGACGAAGCCCACCGACTTGTTCAAGTTCTTCGTGAGGATGACGCGCGCCCCGCGGTAGATGGGCACCTCGACCGGGTTCTGCGCCACCATCTTGCCATCCTGGTAGTTGTCGACATTGCTCTCCGGGTCGCCGGGAACGACCGCAAGGGGGGCCGCGTCGGCGAAGAGGGCGGCGACGGCCATGTCGTTGAGCTGAGCACAGGCGCGGCGACTGATGGTGAGGAAGAGCGTCTGCGGGGTCTCTGCCAGGATGTGGGTCACGTCGTCCTGGGAAGGTTCTGGATTCATGCCGTACCCAGCCCGGTGCCGCGACGGAGCCTTGTGGCCTGCCAGGATCTTCCTTAGCTGCTCGACAGTCGGCTTGCCCACGCGGAGAAGTTCCAGCTTCTTGCGCAGCTCCGGGCACTTGCACCGCAACATGGCGTGCAGCTCCCGTTTCTTGACCAGGACGCTGTGCCAGAGCGGGGAGTCGAGCGAGCTGGAGGGCTCGACGCCTGGCAGCTGGTAGAAGTCGCCAACAAAGACCAACGTCGGGAGGCGCTCCGCGGCCTGCCACTGCTCCACGATGCGTTCAAAGATGGCGCGGGAGAGCTGGCCTACTTCCTCGACGACGATCAGGTCGTAGGGCCACAGCACCTCCAAGGTCTCCTGGGCGGGCT